TGGAAAGTGAAGAGGGGGAAAGGTAGAAAGCAACTCTTCCGAAACATAAAGAGAAAAAAAGGTTCTACCTTCGGAAGGAATGGAACTGTTCCGTAGATTCAGGGGGATTCCCCCAACCTAAAGGGCCGGATCGCGAAAGGCTACGTTTATTTCTCCACGCTCATCTTAGCTCCATGAGAAAAATGAGAGTTGAAGGCCATTCTGCCTTACGTTTTCCCCAACAACATGGACTGGATGTCAGTAGCAAACGGGTGGGGGTGACACGGAAGGGCGCAACAGCATCTCGGTGAAGGAGGGAAGAAACTTCGCAAGAAGAGGAAGCAGCAGCTCCTCTCTCTTGGCCCCTAGCACCGGCCGGCGAAGTTGCGCCACCGGCGCCCCTGCCTGGAGGGCGCCCACTCGCCCTCGCCCCTCTCCGCACGCACTACCACGCAGCACTCGACCCTTCAAACTGCCCCCGAAGTCCAACTACGCCTCCGCTTCCTCCTACCCCCGGACCCATCCCAACTAAGTTCCAAGGAAAGCTCCCGCCCAGAGCGCGGCCTGTTCCGGACAACAGGTGGGCAGTGGCGCCAGCAGGGCTGGGCCTCTCCTAGCCAGGCCCACTCCACTCCTCCCCGGCCAGGGCCCGGGGCGCCCGGCTCCGGGACGGGGAGGGGGAGCTCGCTCCCTTACCTCCGCCATATTTGCCGTACTGACGGGTCACATCTCCGCGGCGGCCGCAGCTGGGTCACGGCCAGAACCCGGATGTGAGAGTCGGCAACGGGACTCCAGCCGCCGCCGCCGCCGTCTCTACCGCTCCCGCCGCCGCTGCCTCGGCGGGAACGCGCAGGAGCCGCCCGAGCGCGCCCACCACACCCCACTCCGCCCCCTCGCGGCGCCCCGGCCGAGCTGGACTGGAGGGAAAAAGCCTGAGCGCGCGCAGGAGCAGAGGCGGGCGCGCGCGCGCGCGGCCCCGCGGAAGCCTTCCCCGGGAGGAGCGCGGAGGGGGCGGAGTCAAGGTGGGTGTGGGGGGTAGGTGGGCTTCTCCGCGCGGGGCGCCTCCCCTGCCCTTAGCGGATCCGCGACTCCAGCTGAAGGAGAGGGCTCTAAGGGACCAGAGAGGTCAAGGGAAAGTGCCCAGAAAACTGTGTCCAGCATTCACATCGCAGGGGAAAAGATACGTTACATTCTACATGTAGGCCTATTTCGAAGAGCATTTGCTGAAAACGGATGTTGCTGTGATGCAACAACGGCAAAGGCACAAAGTAGTGCGCTTTGAAAGCGGTTGTCTCTTGATAAGTATTTCTCTCTCCGTTGATTCCCGACGGGAAATGTAAAATCCCACATCCCCAAACCTTAGAGGTCAGAGATTAAGGGACTGTGGATAGGTAGTATGCCATCCTCACATCTCATCTGCTTTTCCTCACACGCTTCCTGAGATGCCAGGAGCAACATAATTGTGCAATGTTTGAATTTTGCACAACTGGAGAAAATTTCAAAATGCGAAATACAGAAAAGCTGCTCTTTGATAGATATAAATAATCTCCGACTTGACTGCAGAGAGGGAAAACCTGCTTATTTGCAATGCCTGAAATGCCTACAGTTTGAAAGTTTATTTTAAAATACTGGCCTAGAACTGCCAATTGGCCTTGAAACCAATTCTAATGACTGCAGGGTCAATGACTGCAAAATAACAAACATGTTTCACTTCCATTACTAACGCAGATACTGGCTAATACAAAGGTGATATTAAAACATGCACTAACACATTTTACTAAACCAGGAGTTTAAGTCTTAATTTCAAAAAGCCCGTTTTCCCTCAAATGTTCAAGGGTTTTTAATGCAATTTCAAAAAATGATTGCCCATATCAACCAGTTCAGTATAAAAAGTCATTCCTTCCGAATGTGATGCCAGCACGATAATATACTGCATAAATGTGCACATACACAGTTTTTCTTTTACACTTCACTTACAGTGCAACATGGGCTGTTTGCTTAAATTTGTATTCCCTTAACAGTCTAGACTCTATTAACCAGTTTCCTTTTTCCAAAGATTCAACATTAACTTGAAATTCTTATGTCCAATAATAATTTGTGCATGAATAACTTGTGCATTTATAGGTATATGAAGCTGCTAAGCGAAAGGACATTACCTGGTAATTTGACAGGAAAAGAGTCCACAGACAGTCTGTAAACCAATTAAACATAAACATCTGATGCACATTTTCTACTGAAAGAAAAGCAAGGGAAAGAAGAGAAAGGAAAACTTTAAGGTTCCCAAATCTACAAACAATTTTTACTGTACAGTATTTTCATTTTATTTTTTTTAGAATACTTATACAAAAGTGTTTTTCAGGATTCCTTGGGGGAATAAATATTTTAGCACAGGTATATAGAAGTACACTACTGAATTACCTTAGTCCTTTGGACTCAAAATAAAAGTCATTTTTTGAAAAGTCAGTTTGTGTTTAAATAGTTTTCACTTTGAGACACTTGATGGAAACAGCTGAAGGCAAAGAACAACTGATGTGCACAGACCTGAGGTGGGTAAAGACAGAAATCAGGGGCCCAGAGGTAGAAACTCAGGCTTTATAATACCATGGGGATAAAGGAGTGTTTTCCATTTAAATACCAAAGTTAATATATGAAATTTAGCTGGTTCACAAAAAGAAAAATTTTTAAAAAGTGTTGTCAAAATGCAAAATACAGGAATAACTTAAGTCCATTTAGTCTTTGATTCTTCAGTTCAACCTCAACAAAAACATCCCAATTGTGATTTAAAAGCTGGGGATCATGGTCCCTTAAACTACTGAAATTGTCAGGAAAATCTGAAATTGTCAGGAAAATCCCATCTAGGAGATATCTGAATGGATATCCCCCTCTTATTGATAAATGACTTTTAAGTTTATTAATAATGTGTATCATTTTTACTAATTATAAGTGGCATTATCGTTTAGGGGAAAAATTCCCTCTACATTTTTCTCCTTCCCTTTTTAAAAAAAATGTGAATTCAGTGATTTTATTTTTTTTTTAGGTTCAGATAGTCTAAAGATAAAAAGAAATGCCTGCAACATTATAAGTCATTTGTAACACATTACTCCTGAATTCAGCATGGTTTTACTCCCATTTTATTCTTGTGATACACTTATCTTTCAAAATTTTAGGAACCACCTTGAGGAAAGCAAAGTCTTTCTCAAAAACTCTTGCTTACCTCCTCAGTAACAAATATGTAAAAATTAACTGTTCATTAGCCACAGAATCTTAGTGTCTTTAGTCAATTTCTACCCTGTCCAGGTAGGAATCTCTCATTATGTCTCCCGACTACCAGACTTTTCTGCCTATGCTAAAACACCTCCAATGACTGATGAAGATACTGCTCTTTTCAGACAAAGCTCTATGTTTGGAACATTGTTTTATTAAACCAGAATCTATCTCCTAGTTACTTCCATCCATTTCCCTGAGTTTTTCAGCACTTCGGATTAATTCAACAGATGTCTTCTTTGTATTTAAGTGCAAGCAATCAATATTTATACTTGGAATAACAAAATATAATAAGTCTTCGATGCCTATTGATACTAGAAGAGCTAAAAACAAGACATGACAGAGTTAAAAGTATGAGAATATTCACTAATACCTATGAGCTGTTTAAAATCATTAGTTTATATTACGTGTTAATGTGATGTCCAAAATGATAGCTCTGTTACATCATGTAGTAAAATGTTTAAAGTTAAACTAAAAAGTGTGGTTAATTCCAATTTTAGGTGAGGTTTGTGGCTAATGTCCCAAAACAAAAAAAAATCTCTATACAAAGCCTGAATAAATGCCTCTTTAGCTCCCATTCCCCACCTACAAGCTTCATTATTTTCAGGCAAACTAACATTAACTTTCACCATGTTGAAACTTCTGAAAACTGTTATTATATTGGGAAATTATTTTTAAACAATTTACTGAATACTCCATTAAAAAGTTATTAAACATTTTTTATAGAAGTTATAATACACACACACACATACACACACGCACACACGGGAACCCTTCAGTTAGTATTCTCCTTTAACAAAAGCATTTTAAGGTCACAATTTTACTTCAACCAGTACCTTAAACTGACCAATAAATAAATGTCTCTGGCAATTTACATATACCTAAGAAATATAACCTGTTATTCAGTACCAATACCTGATGCAAATGTAAGTACTATATATCCATACTACATAAACAAAATGTTATGCAACTCAGGTACCTTTCAAAATACTCCAAGAAAATATCTATAACAGTTTACTCTAGGGCTGTTTGAATGAAACAGATGAATGCAGCGCATTCAAAACGCTAACAACAAATTCTCTACCTAACAATTTTCAGAGTCCATGAGTCCCTTTTGAGATTATTTGGTAAACTATTTACTAAAATTTTTATTTAAAAGTGACAACCTACACATTATGTGCAGGTAAAAATTTATGGATAGCTACCAATTTGGTTGAAAATACCTAAATATCAAAAAACTTAAAATGACATTTTAGATAAATTGAGAGTTTACCTTTACTTTAGTAGGCAGAATGCAGGTTACAAAGCAGTAATGCATTACATTCGGAAGCCCCACAGCTATGCAAGAATCAGCATCATCTTTTTGTTAGTTTGGTTTTTATTATTAACCCCACCTCCAAACACTTACATAGGCTTTTGGTTCTTCAAAGGACAGTCTTGTTTTTTTTCACAATTTTTACATAGGGTTTTACCGGGCGACCCCTTTTATCAGATTATCACAAACTGATTTTTTTCTTAATAGTCCTAATATTGTCGACATGTTATTTTTATCTCACCCAAACTCTGGAAATTATTGGCCCATCATCAGTTCTCAAACACTGGAATATACAGGAAGAGTAATGTAATATTTATATTACTTGAGGGAGTTTGGATTTTCCCTCCCTTAATATCCAAGTGTGCCCCTGCCTACCAGCATCACATCCGTCTTGTCTGCATTGAACCTCAACCAGTTGGTTCTTAACCACGTCCGAAACTCAGCCAGGCACTGGGAGAATCGAGCCACCACACCATCTGGATCAAAGGAAAGAGAGCCTCAGTAGTAATGAGACCAGAGATGATGATACCGCAAGCTCACCATGTCTCTAATTCTCAACCTCTCATTTTTAAAAGGATGGCCAAGAATTAGGACAAGGATCCCATGACAATTTTAGGAAAACATTAATGGGCCTTGGGTCATGCCATTTGTAAAGAAATAAAAGCGACCCAATAAATAGGTCGCCTCATTCCATCCATGATTGAAGAAAGAAGGTTCGTTCAGTCAACTCCACGTCATCTGGGCTAAGCGGCCCCAGTAGACGGGTGAGTCTGTAACTGCACAAGCTTTTCTGCAAAATTAAGAGTTTTAGCGTTGGAGGAAGCTCTAAGGATAACTGGGGCCCAGAGAGGGGTAGTGACTCGCCCAAGGTCACACAGCAAACGAGGACCAGAAATGGGCTCCCAGCCAGGGATCTTTCCAAGAAAAGCTGTAAAAACAAGGCCATTTCAAGGAGGGGGAGGCATCTGTCCCCAGGGATCTTCCCATCGGGCAGGAGAACCTCGTTCTTTCATATTAATGCCCTCTTCAGTCTTCCTGCCCTCCCTCATTCCCTTCAAAAAGGGCGGCTGGCCCAGGACCCTGCTCACCACGGGGACTGCAGTGCGAGCAAAAGCCTCCCAAGGGAGGGCTGGGACCGAACCCGGATCTACAGGGGAAAAGAGGCGGAGCCACAGGGGGATGGTCAGCTTAGCCCCACCCCGACCGAATTCGGGAGCCGACAGGAGAAAGGGGCGGAAGCGAACTGCGCGAGACGAACTCACACCGCAGCGGATTCCCAGCGCACCGCGGCCGCCGGGGAAGATCCGCGCCGCCGCCACCGCCAAAGCAAAAGACAGGGCTAGGAGGGGGTGCGCTGTGGCGGACAGCTGCGCATGCGCCCAGAGGGGCGACGCACTCGGGGAGGGGAAGCGGGCCGGGCGCGTTCTCTCTCAGCCCCTCCCCGGAAGTTAAGGGTCTTCCGGGCGGTACTCTACGGTGGGGGAGGGGAAGGAGAGAAAGGGGACCGAGGACACTTTAGGAGCCCCTCATCCCAATCAGGACTAGGAGAGGAGAGATGGTTTATGGAGGCTGCACTTACAGCCGCTGCCGCTGCTGCCGCCGCCACCTTCACTGCTGCCGCCACCGCCTGAAGAAGCCCCATCCATCCGCCTGCAGCCGGGGAGACTCAGAACCTGGGAGGGGCCTGGGGCCCGGGCCGCCCGCCTCCTTTTTCTAGTCGTCGTCCGGGGCTTCCTCTTGCTCCACCAACCCTCTGCCCTCCCCTCCGCCTCCGCCCTCCTCCTCGGTCTCCAGCCGCCAGCCAACCGCGCGGCCGCTTGTTGAGCCAGGGTTCCTCCGTCTCCATGACGCCCGGCAAACATTCCCGAGCCTCAGCTAGAGCCGCTAACGCCGAGGGTTGGGGTACAGGGACTCCAGAAGCAGCCAGGGAAGGGGTGGCCCACCACTCCACAGCCTGTCGCAACCATGCCTATCTCTCCAGCAAACAGCCGCAAGCAGCAGAACCTCTGGTTGTAAGTTCCGGCGCTAATCTTCCTGGGTCTCGGAGGAATCCCCTTTAGATCCAGTCTCTTAGTGCGTCTGGGTTCAGTCATGCCTCGAAGCTCTCATACCGCAGTGTCGCCTTCCGTGGCCTAGTACAGCCTTTTTGAACCCCCCACTGCTGTGCTTGCTCTACGGGAAAGACCTACTTTGTTTAGAACCGCTCCTCCTCCTAGCATTCCTGGGGTGGTTTTTCCGGTCCGCCGGGTCAAGCTTGTTGCCCCCATTCAATCCTCACCTTCAGTGAGCCAGAGGACTGAACTTTACTAATGCTCTGTCGTCGAAGTTTTTTCCTGCTTCCTCATGCTATCGTGCTTTTAAAACCCATTCCTGCTAATGTTCTGCCATTTCTGCAACACTTGAACGAGAGGTTGGAGAAGAGCACACAACTCTGTGGACTTGTTTCGCTTACAACTTCAAATGGTTCTTTAGTGCTGCCCAGCAATGGCACTAAAGTTTTCCGGTTCATCCATTCTCCCACACTTCCGGACCACTTTTGTTCTCTTCTCAGACCTTCAGCATCTCTCCTCCAATCTCCACTAGCTCAGCTAATCTTTGATAGAACTTGTTGAAAGTTCTTGGGGGAGATCCTTACATTCTCTCCAGAATATGGTTCTCAGGGTCTTTTTTCCATTCCACCACAACACCAAAATAGTTTGCGTGAAGGTCAACAATAGGCGTGCATCCAAATGCAATGGCCATTCCTCAGTTTCTTCTTAACCCTCCTGCTTCTCAAGTTTTGAATCACTTCGTTTAATTTCTTGGACACCAGCCCTCCCTAGTTCTCTCTTTGGTTTATGGCTACTTGTTTTCAAATTACTTTGCTGGTGGTAACTTTTCTTCTTTTCATATCTAAATACTGGAGTGTTGCTGGGGTCAGTTTTTAAACACCTTTTTTTTCACTATTGCGTTATGCCTTTAAAAATCACCTATATACTAATGACTCACAAGTTTATATTTCTAGCCAGCACCTCTTCCAAAATCCAGACTTTAAAAAAAATCAATGTCTGCACTTAGAAGTTAATAGGCATCTCCAAATTTATATGCAAAACTAATCCCCCCCAACCCCTTATATATTTTGCAGTCTTTGACATTTCAGTAAATGAGAGTTTCCACTCTTCCAATTACACAATAAACAACCTTGGAGTTTCCCTTGACTTCATTAATGCCCCACTCCATCAGCAGATTCTATCATTTCTACCTGCAAAATAAATCGAGACTACCTCCCTAATGTAAGTCCCTATCACATCACAGTAACCACCTAAGTGGTCTTCTAATACCCCAAACTTAGTAATCACTGTGGCTCTTCTCAAAACCCTCCAGTTTTTCTATGTGAGTAAAAAGCTCATGTCATTACAGACCCACAGGATCTCACCTTGGACCCTTTCCTTTGGCTCATTGTTTCACAGCAATGTAAGGCACATTATTTTCCCATTTTAAGGCTTATGCATTTGCTGTTCTTTGGTATATTGCACCCCCAGTTAGTCTCATGACTCACATTTCCTTCACGTGTCACCTTAACAAAAAATCCTTCTCAGGGCGCCTGGATGGCATAGTCAAGCGTCTGACTTTTGATTTCAGCTCAGGTCATGATCTCATGGTTCATGGGTTCCAGCCACAAGAGGTTTCTCTCTCGCTCTCTCTCCCCTTCTCCCTCTCTCCTGCCCCTCCCCCACTTATGTGCACGTTCTCTCTCTCAAAGCTAAAACATTTTTTTAATCCACCTGTCATAAAATAATAATATTTCTAATTACCAATATATCCAGTTCCTCAACCTTGGGTAAACTTATCCATAAAACTTATCCCTCCTTGGTATATGATACACTTTTTCATTATTCTGTCTTCACCCAAATTGTCGAACTCCATGGAGCAGGCATTTTTGTTTTGTTCACTGCTATTGCCTTCAATGAAGAAGGCACTCAATAAGTATTTGCTGACTGAACCTAATATTGGTTACTGCTCATCCTGTCTGATTTTTGTTTTACTTGTAGGTATGGAAATCTGAAAGTAAAATTGTGTTGAATTCATGTGAATTTTTTTTAAAAAGTCTTGTAACTCTCATAGTAGCTGAGAGGATTAGAAAAATTCTCTTGGGAATTTCTTACATAATGACAAATTCGTAGGAAATTACCTCTTAAGGAAAGAATCAGGTGGGAGATGGGAAGTAGTATAATCTTCATTTTTTGAGATAGCCAGCTTACCCAATTAAAGCAAAATTTCATAGACTTTAAAGTTTACAACCATTGGTTTGACCAGTAACCAATGTTATTTCTCATCTTTCTCCTTTTAGGACTTAATCCTGAACTTGAAAAGAATCTCATAAAACATGTATTTACCAATTTTCCGTTTTCTCACTCCAGTTTTTCCTATATTAGATCTTTTCTATTAGCTTAGGAATATGAGCAATCTCCTTTCATGGTAAAAACAACCACTGTTTCTTCAATGCTTTTATCCCACTTCTCTGCCTAGTTCCTCCATTCTCCTTTCTTACATGTTCATTCATTTCCTTTTGATTCTTTCTTAGAGTTTTCATGTTATCCACTTTTTCTATTAGAGTCCTCAGCATATTTTTTTAAGTTTATTTATTTATTTTGACAGAGAGAGAATCCCAAGCAGGCTCCACGCTGTCAGCATAGAGCTCGTTGTGGGGCTCAATCCCACAAACTGTGAGATCATTACCTGAGCCAAAATCAAGAGTTGGACCCTTAACCGAATGAGCTACCCAGGTGCCCCTAGAGTCCTTAGCATATTAATCATAATTATTTTAAATTCCTATTCTTGACAATTCTGAAATCTCTGCCATATCTTAGTCTGGCTGTAATGCTTGCTTTGTTTTTTCAGACTGTTCTTTGTCCCTTTGATATGCTTTGTAATTTTTTGTTGAAAACGAACATGTTGCATCAGGTAATATGAACTGAGGAAAATAAGCCTTTAATGTGAGATTTTGTGTCTGTCTGACTGGAAATTGGGCTGTGTGGTGGGTTTTTGAGGCTTCAATTTCCTCTGGTGTCCTTGTTTTTGTCTCCTCTGTTTTTTAGGTTTCCCTAGAGACTCCTTCATAGAGTCTGAGCCTTGCATTTCTTTCCATTCCAGTCCCCTGTTACTGTACAGGTGACCTCTTGGTGTGGTGATGAGATATTGGGGGGAGAGGAAGTGTTCTATAATCCCATGATTAGTCTTAGTCTTTTCGTGGGCGTTTGTCCCTTCACTGTGACCTTCATAAGTGTTTCTCAGATTTTTTTTCCTTAGGTGGAACAAGAAGTCTAGAGGGTCTTGGAGTTGTGTATTTCCTTCCCCCCACATTGGTTAGGCTCTGATAAAATAGTTTTCCTTGAGGGCAGGCCTTTGTTAAGGAAAACTGAACATTCTGAGTATATTTTAGAATAGTTATGCCCTATCTCCCTGCTGAAATTATTAGGGAGTTTTTCTCTGATCATCCCAAGAGCCCAATGAGTCTCATGGTGGGCCTCCGTGTGAGGCTGGGCCCTCAGGAATTTTTACCTTTCAAATTAGTCTACACTCAGTCTCCAGCAATTAGTCAGTTATCCTTTAAGTTTTCCTACCATTTGCTGGCCCTAGTTGCAAAGTTTCTACTCTCAGTAAATTGTGATTCTCTGTTTTCTCCTGCCTGTCCAACTTTCAGGCCAGTGGTTTGCCTATAAACTACATGATGGATCTGAAAAACCTGTTGATTTTCAGTTTGCTAAGCTTTTTTCTTGTTATAAAAATAAGATTGATGACTTTTGTGGTCTTTACATGTTGGACCAGAACATCTATGTTCGCTTTTCAACCCTTGCAATCTGTTGTCTCCATTTCTGTACAGAAACTATTCAAAGGTCAATAATGAGTTATCTAAAGGTTTCAAAAGTCACCAAATTCAATGGGCTTTCTTAACTTCTACCTCTCTGCAGCATCTGACAGTATTGATCTTCCTCAATAAATTTAAGTTATCCCTGAACTTTACTGGTTCAAATATCTCTTTTCTGATTTCTTTTACTATCTCCAGTTTCTCCCCTTGGTTCTATTACCTTCTTTTTATGCCTTTAGGTTTTTATTTTGGGACTCAGTTCATTTCTTATCATCTCCATACAGAGATTCTCAAATCTGAATCTCCAGCTTTCACTTCTATTCCTTAAAATTCACTTTACTCTTGCATTTATAACTGCTACCAGACGGCTCCATCAAGATATCACTGATATCTAATATGAACATGTCTACAATTTAACTTCTTATTGTGTTTTAGAAGTGAAGAGTAATTTAGGGGCACCTGGGTGATTCAGTCGGTTAAGTATCTGACTTCAGCTTAGGTCATGATCTTGCAGTCTGTGATTTTGAGCCCTACATCGGGCTCTGTGCTGACAGCTCAGAGCCTGGAACCTGCTTCAGATTCTGTGTCTCCCTCTCTCTCTGCCCCTCCCCCGCTCACACTCTATCTCTCTGTGGCTCAAAAATAATAAATAAATACTAAAAAAAAAAGTGAAGACTAATTTAATCATCACCTTAACTCAATGAGATAGGTACTATTATTAACCTTAATTTACAAATAAACAGATTAATAGATGGATGAGTTTGAGCATTTAAACTGACCTTTGAGGGGCGCCTGGGTGGCTCAGTCGGTTGAGTGTCCGACTTCGGCTCAGGTCATGATCTCACGGTCCATGAGTTCGAGCCCCACGTCGGGCTCTGTGCTGACTGCTCAGAGCCTGGAGCCTGTTTCAGATTCTGTGTCTCCCTCTCTCTCTGACCCTCCCCCGTTCATGTTCTGTCTCTCTCTGTCTCAAAAATAAATAAACATTAAAAAAAAAATTTAAATTGACCTTTGAGTTTTAGTTTTCTTATTTGTAAAACATGACTATTAAATATCTTACAAGTTATTATAAGAATTGAACTAGAGAATATAGATGGAAGTTCTTTGAAATTTAAAATTTAAGTAGTATTGTTATTATCTGTTACCAATTCTGATCAGTTCTGT